AAAAAATGTTACATCAACAGTTCATATATTTTGACCTTCATGTCCTTGATTAGTATCAGTAATAGAAACAATAGAAGTACGGCCAGACATCGATCATTGTCATGACCTTCATATATGCTGCATCCCATCGGGAAGAAAAAGACAATCTAACTATTTGCTCGTCGCGCATGCATTCCATTAAACATAGACACGGAAATATACTCCGGATATTTGTCGCGCCTTCATCTCAGAACGAAAAAAAGAAAATAAATTCAATATTTCTTTTGATGTTTTTCTTTCAGAACATAAAATATACATCTACTAATAATAATGTTTCTTTTCTTTTTAATACAAAAGAAAACGACAATGTGTGTATGATTAGTCTTCATATTCGTGCTTGATCGGCTTCAATTTCACTATCATTCTATACGCCGATATGGCCTTGTTCTTTTGTGTCTCACAATTGAGTTGAACATATACATATATATATACATATACGTATACATATATGTTTAAATTGAAAATTGAAAGTACTCATTGCCTTAGGCTTTATAAATGTATGTGCGTTAAAATCAAAGTCTACTATCTACATACACATACACACGGTTGAGATCGAATTTCGTCTGATCCTAAGAAAGACATGTGTATGTTGTGTGGGATCAAGGTTGTGTTTTTTTTGTTACACGATCTTAGTTGTTTTTTTTACTTACTTAAAACCGTTAATACAATAGTCATTGATAAAGCTTGATCAAAGTTTTGACATAGATATCGTCCACTATCATTTCCAGCAATTATTTTTATAATTAAATCATATTTTCCTATAATTTCATATTTTTGTTTATCACCTGAGATTTCTTGATTAACAGAGAGTACAACACCATCTTTTGACCTATGGACAAACAAAAATGATATTATTTCTTTTTATCTTGAGTTTTCTTACCACATGACTCGATCGCGATCGGTAAGACCTTCGAATCGACATGATAATACAACATCACGACCTTGTTTTTCCGTAATTGTTCTTGTACTAAGTACAACTGATGATTCAAGATAACCAATAGTAATAGCCAATAATAGTACTCCTATATATATACAAATGTATGTATGAAAAAAGATGATAATAATAATAATAATACAATCTTAATTGTAAGGCTTCTAGTCTTTTTATCAAAAAAAATCATCATAGGACGTGTCATTTTAATTCGTTTGCACCCATATCTAAACATGGCTGATAGTTATCAATGCAAGTCTTGACTTCACACACATAGTGAGTGCTTTTTTTCACTCATCAATTATTCAAGCGTAACCACTTTCATTTTTTTTGCCTATCGACAAAATGTCAATCATCTTTTGTCTATAACTCTTCCCCTTTTGCATTTTTGAAATCAAATAGATCATCATTATCTGCCCTATCGCCGAGACGCGTCAAAAGGGAAATGAAAACGAGATTGATCGTATTTTATGCCTGTCAACTAAACGCATATTTTATTCATCTTGACTAACGAATTAAAAATATGTCTAAACGGAAATCAGTCTTTTGTTTTATGTACAAAAACCAGAAGTTTCGTTCTTAATCAAATGGGAATATAGGTCAAGACAGATGTGTTTGATTTAAGCAAACTTTTTTGGTCACTCTTCTTAATTAACAATTGAGATGGAGACAAACAACATATGAACATCAGTATATGAGTAAATGTTGATTCTCAAGAAAAGAGAAGGAAATTCAACTCGATTTTTCTTTTTAACACAACATGATATTGATATCAATCACATGAACAAGAGAAAAGACAGACTTAAAACTAATTCAAATTGCGTAGAAGAATAGATATGAATAACCCATGTTTCTTCACAGTAATTCAATCTTCGTATTCGCACTTCTCGAATTGCAGACATCTCCGTATATATATATATATAACAACAACCGAAATAATGAATTAAACCAATAGATCTTCGATCATACGGATTGCCGGTTGTCTAGTTGCCGCAGGGAGTTATCTCATACACGTATGCCGTAAGAAGTATTATTGTTATTAACGCCCTTATCTGATTATTTTTGTTTCTACACGTTCATCTCATCTGTCGTTTTTCCTCACTAAGTAGGGCAGATTTGTTACAAAGATCGACACAAGCTCCTGTCATGATCATCATCATCATCATCAACATCATCGCACTCTAACACTTAAAAAGAATAATCTTTGTAGACGTAACATACATCATTGCCGCTATCCCTAATCAATATAGAAATAAAGAAAAAACAATGGCCTGTTATAGAAACATTCTTTTTTGAATACGAAGTCAAGTAGAAGATTGTTGTGTAACGGGTACATGCATGTCCAATATAAGAAATAATCTTAATTGACACGTAAAAAAAATTGTTAGCTGTCAATTTGAATCAAGGATAGATATATACCGGCTGTTGTACTCTCAATCTGGCACTTGACAGTTCACAAGTAAAAAAGGAAATAACTTACCAAAGATTGTTTTTGTTGTTGTTGTTGAATTCATTTGTCAGTAGTTTGTAGTAAATGAGCTGTTCGTCGTATGCGAAATCGTTAATCTGTATACAAGGGCGTAGGCGAATTTTTTTTTGTTACGTCAAGTTAAAGTTCAACATAAGTATGTATATGTCTTCTTCTCGATCCGTATAGAAATGAATTTATAAATAAACTGTATAACGACAAGCAAGCAAAAGAAAGAGAGGATCAATTCGATTGTATGGATAGAATAGGATAGGATAGAATAGAGAACGAGAGTAATAATTATTATACTGACTGATTTTTCTCCTTCTTCTTCTTCGTCTCCTCTCTTGTATAGCAATGATGACGATGATGATGGGCAAATACACGCTTATACAGCAAGAGAATTGAATGAATGAATGACCACTACATACTCTCCTTCTCTCTCCCTCTTCTCTCCTTCTCGTTATATAGAAAAAAATGGCCACAAGAAAGAAGGAAAAAAAGAAGACAACGAAAAAAAAAAGAATGTACAAAATTCTTCTAATTCTATTTCCAAGTTATACATATGATGACAAAAGACAGACACAAGATCCCCCGAGCTTCAGTTTTGAAAAGATAAAGTTGACAATTGTACATTAACTTCTTTAAAATATTCATCACATTGATCTCCTTCGGCTATATTTGATTTAATTTAAGAGAACTTTTTCTAACATATATTATATGAACAAATGTTTCCGATCTCATTAAGCAAAAATGAAATTCTTCTTTTTTGTTTCAAATGTTTATTTGAACCAAACATCCTGTTTAATACGAACGTTATGCTTGCCTATTGTATTTAGTAAAAAATTTTCTAAATGAATAAACACATCTAGAAAACACCTGTGAGATAATCCCAGGTGTTGTTATCCAGACTGTTTTACGCTTTTCTTCACTTTTCGTTGAATTGATTGCATAAGATACAATACAATATCTTGATGAATGATCGAAATATTCATCATTTTATTTCACCTTGAAAAATAATTATTTGTCGAACTATTTGTTACGGACATCGAAAGATGTGATTAACTTTCTATGGTTATATGTATTGCTCAGCATGTGGCATCATAATCATTTCCATAAAAAAAAGGAAAAGTCATCCTCGGCACGCCGTTTTAATTATAGACTGTACAGTTTTTTTTCATCATCATATCCGGATTTCTTTTCTTTTTGTGTCTAGTGACGCCGCCGCCAACTGAGTGACTGTGATGAGATGGTGTCATTTCCTCGTGCAAATTATTACTCATATATTTGTATAGCGTTTAGTCAATTGAATAAAAGATTAAACTTTTTTCGATTCCGTCATCACCAAACAGAAAAATGGATGAGATCAAACGTTTATAATATGATGAAGATATACATTAACAATATACAGAGAAATAGAACAGAAAGAAGGAGGAGCAATAGTGAGAAAAGGATCAGATGTATAAAGATGTTTATTTATGTTCATCAAGGGCGTTTCTCATCAACTAGATATGATTGCGTCAATTCTTTTGTTTATTTTTTATCAATACATTCGCACACATATGCATCATTCAACACATTGGATAATGTAGTAGGGAAGCTTTTGTATCTGGTAAAAAAAAGAAGAACGACGACGACGAGAGAACTTCTACTGTTAATATATGAATATCAATTAGCTACATTGTACATAGTATGATTTCATCAATGACTTCCGACAGTGATCCGCCTTTTTCTACATTGATATTCAGCTCAAGAGATTCGCCTGACTGTCTAGTATATATATTTTATTCGATTAGCAACGCTGAATTTGTATGTTTGACACAAGATTATACATAATAAAAGATTCCGTTGTCCAACGTCCGAAAAGTTTGCTTTTATTCAAAGTAATTCTATTGAGAATTTCTATCAACGCAATATGAATACAAGTTGATCTGCATAATATTGAATTGAATGATAGAGAAAAAAATGACATCGACGACAGACATCTATGACGATGACAAATTTACTATTACTCATCATGAAATGGATCAGTGATTGAGCATGCAATGTGTGAATTCATGAGTAGTAGACTAAGAGGATTGTTTTTTTGTACATTAACAAGATAAAATTTAAATTAATTTGATCAATGTCTACATTGAATTTTCGTTATTTATTAATAAATAAATGACTATGAAAAAAAAACAAATTTCAAATTTGAGTACAAACATTCGTATCACAGAAAAAAAGCAAACAAATCATTAAAAATATATTTCATTCGAAAGACTATTAATTATTGTAGCGACTAGTTATATGTTTAAAGATTACGATTGGGAATGCCTTGTTGAAAATTAACTTGTTGTTTAAATTGAAGAACGAGACGACCTAATTGTTCATTACGTTCACGTAAATATCGTATTAAATCAGCTTGCTTTTCTAGAACATTTTCTCGAAAACTTTCATCACTAAAATAAACATAGAATTAGATCTCTCTCTTGCTATATATATATATAAAACAAACCGAAATCCAATTTCATTCGCTGATGTTTGTGAAGTAACAAAGCTTGAAAGTAAATCATCTTGAGTAGCATCTGGACGAGCACGTCGTTTATTAAATTTAATTGTAAGACCTAAAAATAACACAGATCTTCCTTCAAAGACATATATTTCAAGTCATAATCTTACCAAGATACCATAATAATGAAATTAATATAATAAGTACTTCAATAGAAGTAAGCATTGAAAGAAAATGCCATGGATATATTGTCCAATGTAAATTAGCTAAATCACTTTTATACAATTCGAGTAATTCAATTAAAGCAACAAGAATTGCATTTCCTTTAATATTCAAATAATAAAAATTCTTAAAAAAATCTTTTAAAATTACCTGTTGAAATAATAAATAAAGGTGTACGTCTTAGATTTCTTGTTTGTCGATAAAAATCAAGATAACCATCCCGTCGAGATAAATCTTGATAATGATGGTATAATCTATCAAAACCAAGACTAACAATATAACCACCTGCATGAATGTATAATGCTATATTATAACCAGAATGATTATTACATCTTCCTATCGTATCATTATGTAGTGGGTCTGGACAAATCGTTGATGGAAAGAGTATAATACTTGTTATGAAAGCAATCTAAGTAAATAATATATGAGAAAAAAAGATTATTTATATCATTATTGATTTACTGTAAGTAAAAGATGTAATACAATAAATCCAGTTGTACGAATTGGTCGATAAGGTTGTTCGAGACTATCAATAAGTGGTGTATTTTCATGTGCATTTTCGTCAGCAGCAGCAAATGATCGATCATCGAAGGAAATACCCTTTTTTTCAGAAAGAAAAATATATATAATTCACTTTAACAAGTAGGGTGCGGCTTCGGGATTGAGTATTTTCAAAATAGAGACTTCAGCTTAATTCTTGGATTCTTTTGAAGATGTACTATGAATACAGAATACAATTCTCTGTCAGGCTGTTGTACTTTCAGATCTCATTCAAGATATATGAAGAAGAAATACCTACGGGATTAGAAAAACCCCGTTGGTATTTGTCCTGTGATACATGTTGCGTGAGATCCGAAAATACAATAGCCTGATATAGAATTTTATTCTGTATTCATCGTACATCTTCAGAAGAACCCAAGAATTAAGCTAAAGTCTCTATTTTGAAATATTCAATCTCGAAGCCGCATCCTATTCACAAGTCAAAAATAGTTCTATACTATCTATCCTTCAAAAGCCTGATTCATTTGCAGCAAATCCCTCAAAATACAAAAGCTATAATCATGGTTCTCATCTTTACTTGTCACAAAGTTGACATCCCTTTACGACCGGCCGTTTTTATAGAGCACAAACTAATAATCGATATAAAAATTGCTCTAAAATATTATAACTCGATCTAAACAGTTTTTTTAGGCTGAGACAGCCATATAGACTATTCACAAAAAACAAAAAAATTTTGACTAACTTCTAAAGAAAATAATTTATCTTAAATTAGATTTTGTAATGTCCTTTAGAGGAGGCAGTCGGTCGTAAAGGGTTAAACAAATAACTCTTTTATCTGTAAATTCTTACATTATCTTTTGGTGTATACAAAAAATTATTGTTAACTACAGACTTTATGTAAAAATCAATTTCTTTATTTCGCTATAATTGGTAATATCATAATCATTTAACTTTATATTAACTATCTTTTAATTTATTAGAGATAGATTAAGTATCATTTCTTAATAGTGAAATATTTTTAGTTCATCAAAACTTTCCTCTTAAAGGAATAAATAAAAATTTCAAACTCACTCCTCCACTTCGTCCATTTTGTGTATTTAAACTGACCATCTAAAAAGAACTATTGAGTAGTATACAAATAGGAAAAAAAAAGAATAATTTTTTGATTTTTTTTCTTCTTCCAATCACAATCACAAATATGTATGTGTATACATTTAGTTCAATACAACAATAATCAAAAAAAAACAACAAAAGAGAAAACGTATTTTTGTTTATTTACGTCGTTTATATTATCATAAGGAAAAAAAAATAATTAATAATAAAGGCTAATTTCATACGAATAGAAAATCGCAACAATTTAGCGCGTTTGATTAGTAGTTAAAGAGATGATTAATCAAAAAAGAAATGACGAGGAAAGAATGGTACTACTTGAATAACAAGCAGTCTCACTGTGTACGTGTATGTGTATTTAAGTTGTTCGCTTTGTTTTTCTTGATTGGAGAAAACGTAGTATTTATATTTTTGTGTGAGGTTCATTAACGTGAGAAAGCAAAAAAAAGAAAAAGAAATGGTGCTTGAAGCTTATTATCTATAAGTTTTGTTCGAATTTTTGAGTATTAAAGAAAGGGATTTGTTGAATTTGCTTTTGGTTTTCCGAATTGATTTGGCATTTGTTGAGTGGGTGGCTGTTGTTGTTGTTGTTGTTGTTGTTGAGCAATATTCTAAAAGAATGAAAATGAGTAAAAGATTTCTTTTTAGAATTTATTTATACCATAAACGGATTTGGTTGATTAGTTGGTGGCATAGCAAAAAAATTTGATGTATCTATTAAAAGTAAAAATAAAATTCTTTTATATGAAATATAAGTGATCTTACTAGCTCCGAATGATTGTTGTACAAAAGGATTTGAAGTAGGAGGAAATTGTGATGGAAACGATTGATTAGAAAACATATTTGTTTGTTGATGCTGCTGCTGCTGCTGTTGTTGAACAGGGAATTTTTGAGTTACACCTGTGGATGTTGTGGACATTTGAGGAGTAGATGAATAGGGTGTACTGCCAAATATAGAATTATTTGAACCTGATACAGATGTTCGAGAACCTAAAGTGATAAGAATAAAAAGATTTATTTAGATATACGACTGATTATTATCATACCGCCATTAGTTGTATTTCCGAAAATAGAAGGTTGATGATCTTGTATTGTATTTTGTGAACTGAATAATTCCGAGAGTGCAGCATATTTATCTGCCTAAATATTTTATTTAATTGAGTATGAGAATAAATAAAAAAAATAACTAACTGGTTCCGGAGGTGGATGAGCAAAATTATTTGCTGGCATAGATATTGTATTTGTAAGTGGTGTATTTGTGAGAATAGTTGTTGGATGATGTTTAGTTGTTTCTACAAATGCTCCCCAATTCGTATCATTAGATGATGTTGTGGTTGTTTGAGTAAATGGTTGTTCTATATAACATAAATAATTAAGTAGGAAGAAAAAATTAATCAAGTACCTGAAAAAAAATTCTTCGTTGGTGATGAATTTGCTGGTGGCGATGTTGATGATTGCAAAAAATCATCAAACAATGCTAAAAATAATTTTATATCATAATTGAACAAATATAGACTTTATCATAATTATCAAGTATATATACATAGACATTTTAACGTAAGACAGCAGAAACGTGTTATTATTCATATCTTTATAGGATAAAAATACGTACGTGATCCCCATATTGATATATATAGTAAGATATCTGCAGATAATGACTACTGTTCTTTATAGCATTTCGTGTATTGTACACTATATGAACTTTCTCCTGTATATTTATAATTGTTAAGAGCGCTAATCGAATGTTTTACCTTATAGCACTCTATCAAAAACATTTTTCGAAAGTTATGTGAGTATAAAAAGAATGAAATGAACTAAACTAATCCATCTGTTATATTAAAATCAATTAGTATGCTGAACTTGTAAGGATATTTATAGCTCAGTAAAACGATAATCCAAAGAATAGAAAAAATGTCAAATGCAGATTATTCTATTATTAATATATTAATTAAACTCACATGTTGGTGATGTCGTATTTGCAGGAGTAGAAACCGGTACATCAAATACAAGCATTGGTGGTTGAGATGATGTGACTGATGGAACACGCGTTACCTAAATAAATAATAAAAATGCAAAATTTATATTAGAAAATAAAATCTAAATCAACGAACACGTGCAGTATTTGTGGGCACGGTTGATGATGAGTCTGCTGGTGATTTGATTGTATTTGTTATACTCTGTGAATGTGGGAGACTTGACGTTGAAGATGATGATGATTTTGTATTAGTCGTCGTATTGGTTGTTTTTTCAAGACTAGCTTCTGTATCTGCTTTTACCTTTTGTTTCATTGCTTCTGTCGGTTCAACATACCATCTACGAAAGAAAGTTTATTTACTAAGAAAATTAATAAAATTTCCAAACCGTTTTCTTTCATATTTTTGTGAGAGAAATTCTTTAAAACGTTCTGTATCTTTCGGATCAGGTGAAAAACCAGCATTTGCATCATATAAACCCAAATAAACCATTTTATTTAACTAAATAAGAATAATAAAATGAATTTAATCCGAAATAATTAATATCTAACCTGATTGCCACGAGATTTCATAAATTCAACTTCTTCTTGAGTGAATGTTGACATATTAATTGATTTTACACGATGTGGTGGATTTAAACCTCGTCTAAATAAATCAATCAGAAAATATTCTCTATCTATTAATTTACTTACAAAAGACCACTACATGCTGTACAAACGAAACTACCAACAGTAACACTAAAAACAAATATATTTTAATTTAAAAATTAATAACAAAAAGAAAAACATACTCAACATAAGTTGGTCCTTTTGAATTGCAATCAAAACATTGTTTATTCATGGGTAATGATGCTAATTCACGTATCATTTGAACATATTTTTCTTCTTGACGTTTATTTTTTGTTGAAGCACTCCCTGCCATTGTTTAATTGAAAACAAAAATAGTCAATTTTCGAAAATCTACAATAGAAAAAATTTATTTAATCAATCGTGCATTTTTGTTAAGATAAATATTGAATTATGATGAAGAAGATAACATATTAATGAATATTTTTATTTATATTGTCGTCAAAGCACATTTTTTATTATGTTTTGTATTTTTGAAAATAAGAAAAAAAGAAAAACGAGAAAAAAATAATAATAAAAGAAAGAACGAACTCTTACTCTTACATCCTCCTCCTTTTTTAAGCTAACGAAACAACAAGCAACCAACCCAACCTAACACAATAAAGAATAATAATGATGATTCATAGAACTATATTAATGATTGGTAAATACGGTCAATCAATAATGACAAATCAATGCTTCATTTTATGATAGATGCAAATCAGAAAATGTTTTAACATTTATTTACAATACAGACAAAATTTTTTGTCAACTTGAAAGACAGAATATCATGTAATAGATGTCACTTTTAGTAAATTTTTCAGTTATTTAACGCCGAGTGATCCTATAATATCAATTAGTTATTCTTTCGAATAGATTGATTAAAATAAACTATATGAGATCTATGATCATTTCTCATTGTATTTATTGAAAATGAAATTTTATGTTTATATAGGAAGATTAACCATAGCTCGAATCCAATCAATATAAGCTGCTGTTTTAGTAAATACTGTAGGAAATGCTCGTCGTCCACACCCAATAGCATAACTAACTACACCAGCAGCATACCAACGACCATTTTTTAAATAGAATAAACCACCACCACTATCTCCTTGACATGACCTAAATAATTCAAGTTATATCACATACAGAAAAAAAAATAATTATCAATACAAACCCATGATCTTTATCAATTGGACCATTAGGAGCAGTACAAATTTGAGTTTGAGGATCATAAGCAAAATACATTGAACAATCCGAAATAACACGAAGTCGAGCTTGAAGAAGAACGAGACTTCCACTATTCCATACATCATGTATAGTATTACCCCAACCAGCAACATAAACAGTTGTATCAAGTGGTGGTTCAACAATCTAAACCATATATATATATATATATGAGTTTTTAATAAATAGTAATATTTAGTTTTTACGTACATTATCTACAAGACAAATTGGTTGAATTTCATTTGTAAATATAATCGGTGCAGCTAATCTAATAATTCCAATATCATTAGTTGAACGAGATTCATCATAATATGGATGTATTATGAGTTTAGCAATAGGTATAAGTTGACCAGATGAAGATCTATTATGAGCACCGATACGAGCTAAATAATTAACAAGATCATTGGCATAATCTAGACAATGTGCTGCTGTTAAAATATTCCATTGATCAATGATTACACCACCACAATCATGACCACCTTTATATTGTAGTGAAACAGCCCAAGGAAATGAATGTGGTTTTGCTTGAAGTCCATTAACGATACGAGCAGTTGCTTGTAAATAAGGTGATTGAAATGTTTGACCACATTGAGCTATTGAACTTTGACTTGGAAATGTACAGCAAAAACGAACTTTATAATCAGGACATGGGGATGAACGTGAACCCATACAAAAAAGACCATTAGCATTGATCAATGTTTGATATAATCCTGATTCATTTTTAGATTTTTGTACTACAGAATAATCAACATTCAAAACATTTTCACATTGAATTGCACCTTTATATAATTCTCGAATAATAAGTATATCTTCATGATCATTTCCATTATTTATTGTTGGATTTTGTGTATTAAACCATGACGTCCACGTTGATATCGTTGGATCACATATTGAATTAGAAAATATTGAAAGTACTTGTCCTCCAAAAACATTTGAAGATGATAATAGAATACAATTGATAAATAAAACTAATATCAACATTATACTCCGTTTCAAAAGCAACGAGTGATATTAATAACACACTTTTATAGAAAATCATCATATATTTATTATATTTTTCTATTTTACTTGTTAAGCTATTTTAAAATAAAAATTGGTCCTATGAAGTATATACGTCAAACGAAATTTGATGCTAAAAGCAATGAAAGACTGAGATTAGATTCTTATAATCACAAGCAAAAATATTGATATGTGAAGGAGAGGAATTAGATAGTCCTCCTTATAATTTCAATTATTTTTCGACTTCTTCTATATCATGTTTTGCAGGAAACATCTACAACGTTTATATGAGATATAATATAGATAAAAGTAGATCGATATTTTTCATACAATATTAGAACTGAAAGTATTATTGAAGTACATATTTATATCAAAGCCTAGTTTTTAAATGCAATCTTTGTCCTTTTAGTCTTCTTTGTGCTATTCATATCTTTATCGAAATAACAATATAAAATACAGGTTTTTATTATGTTTGCTTTTCGTCATAAATATGACATCACTACAACTACAAATATTTGGTTAAATTCACCTTAATCATAATGATATAATCGTTTATCAGTTTACTTAATGAATAATTCATAACCACTAAATTCTTCTAGTTCTTTTCCAACTGATAAAAATCGAGAGGTCTTCGAGTATAATTTATAGACAATTTTGATTAGCTGTAAATATATTCTAAGCAAAGCGTGTATACATCTATTGTCTATTATAATTATATTTCATATGATTAATGTATCGAAAGAAAAGTATTAGTAATTTCGATGATTATTTTTATATCACCGAAATCGCTTACTATTGTTATTATAATAATATGATTAGAGTACACAATAAATCACAAAATCAAAAGGTATTTTTTAGTCTAATGTTAAAATTAATTAAATATCATATAACGTATCGAAAGTCTTGTTTAACGATTTCCGTTAGTATCATGTATATCATTTATTTCTTTCTTAAGAAAAATTCATGTGTATATAATTTATTAATTATTTTCTTTACAATAAAATTGAAATTGAATATTCATTATTTGTCTTCTTTACTACATTCTTGAAGAAATAATATATGTCTCGCGACGATACGAATATCATATGCGACATATTATGAAAAAAAGCGTGTCAAACATTGCTATAACATGTCATATTTCGTCTACAAAAAAAAATATTAAAAACAATTCATACATGCACTTTTATTCATCTAATGAAATACATATTATACACATATATGAGTCATCATTTAATTGAATACTCTTAAGTTTTCCTGGTTTATACCAATGTATAATTTATTTACATTTTTGTTTGCTTGTGTTCTTTTTTATGCATGTAATTTGAGTCAAGATTAAATGACGTCATGTAAAGGTAGCATAGCAATCATTACACATGCAAGATTTCTGTTGATTATTATATGAATGAATCAAGTCTCGTTTCTTTTTACTGATTTTTTTCCATTACGCAAGATTTTTTTAGATCAATCATAAGCAAAAAAAGAGAAATAATTTTATAAAAAAATGATGGCAGCTCTCTTATTGTCAACGTTCGTTCGATTTAACCTCTTTGATGTTTAAGATGAGTCATCGGTTGTATGGCTGCGTAAAAGAAAAACATAGAAAGAACAGAACAGACGAGAAAACTATATATTTATATAAGAGCCTATACTGTCTCGCGTCTATGCTGACTCATTACATTAACACTGCACTCGGTGCATGAGTGACATTAAAACTAAACACTATTTTTTGTTTTTTGCAAAAATAAAACTTGATTTTGAGTTTTTGTTTTCTTAACTCTAACGATTTTATCTGAGCGGACAAAGGTCAAATATATATGTGTGTGTGTGTATCCATAGAATCTAACGATTGCTTATTTTTCTTTCTATTTCTATATTCTAGATCACGTTCTTCTTTTTCCTTTTTTCCTATTCGTTCATGACTGCATGCATAGTTGAAGACGCATCAACTATAATATCGATCTTTTGTCAGACAATAGATTCAATGGAACAAGCGCTATCAACATCGTTAGAAGCAAGTACTAGAGCAACAACAACAATGACAACAACAGCAACAACAAATAATTCTGAGTATCATCGATGTCCGTTTAATTTTCATCCAAATAATATGAAAATTGATTCAACAACAATAATAAGAAATCAAGAACCATCTAGAAAAAGACAACTGAGTGAAAGTAATACGTGCAATACAATTTATGAAATGCCAAGAACAGTAGTAGATAACAGCTGTCGATCACCAGCTGTCCCAATGAATAAAATGAATGAAAGTAAGTAAAGAATTTTTCTTTTTATTGATTGGTGAATTTAAATTTTTATTATTTCGAATTTTTTAGCTGCAACAACACCTACTCGACCTACATCTTTATTTTTAACAAATACTACAATTGATCGTTCATCTACAAGTTTACGTTCCTATCTTAGTCATCCATCAAAATCACCAACTATTTTTCCTTCAATTGAAGATCATTTATCACCAACATTAAAATTTACATCATTACCGGAACTTTCTTCTCCGCCAGCTAAACGTCTTCGTCCTCAAACATTACTTTTAACACCTACATTTCCACCTGTTATTGCAATACCAATAAAACCTCTCCCACCGCCGTTATCATTATCAATTAGTTTTATTAGTCCAACTGAATTAGCCGATAAATTAAAAGACAAAACTTCCTTAACAATTTTCGATTGTGGTTCACCATTTCGTCATAGTGAACATCGGATACGTAATTCAATTCTTCTTCGTGTTTCGGATAAAATCTCACGTAAACGTTTAAAAACAAATGTAAAACAACATTCAACAATTGATAATAAACAATTACACGAAAGTCAATATATTATTTTATATGATGACAGTACAAATATGCGTCGTCATTGTACAGATCTTTTATCATCTGATGATGAACAATTATCAGCAGCATTTAAATGTGCATGTGAAGAAATTCAACGTTGTTTTACAACGAATTATCCTCCTGTACTTGTTCTTAATAGTCCATTTAATAAATTTTTTGATTTATATCCAAATCTATGCGAATCTCTACAACCTCGTTCATGTCCATCATCACCAACAAATCATTCAAATGAATCATCACCACCTCAAACAGCACCACCAATACAAAACTCATTCATACATCATTCTACAACGACGACGATAATGGATGAAAATATTATTACTAATCATCCGATGACACATATTATCGATGGTTTATATATTGGAAGTGAATCAAATGCGAAAAATCTCGATGAATTATCATCTGAACAAATTCGATATATTGTTAATGTAACATCACATGTACCTCTATATCATTCGGAACAATTTCAATACTGTCATTTACCAGCTGATGATACACAAAAACAAAATCTATTAGAATATTTCGATAAAGCTTATTCATTTATTCATAATGCAATTGAAAACAATGAAAAAGTTCTTGTTCATTGTGTTGCCGGAATAAGTCGTTCCCCGGCTATTGTCATTGGATTTTTAATGCGTTATGCGAAAATGAATATGAATGATGCATATGATTTTGTTAAAAGAAAACGTTCAATTGTTTCACCTAATCTCAATTTTATGGGACAATTACTTGAATATGAAAAAAAACTAAAACAAGACAAATGAATTTATGTGTTGCTTTTTTTCTCTATTTCATTTATGGATGTTGTGAATATATATTTATTGTTATTAACAATTTGTTCTTATAAAGATATCCAAGTCAAGAACTTTGGGATCAATAAATATAGTTTATATTATACAGGCAATCATTTCCTTTCTTAATTACGAAATAAATGTCAATATTTGACGTGGCGAGTTCATATGTATTTATAGTTAGTCATCGTATGATGTAAGAAGATGATGATGATTCTGCAATATAGTCAGACAACTGATTCAGTTTACATTAATCACCTCCTATCTCTATATTACATCATAGATAGAAATAGACCAAAAAAAAAGAAAATATGTAGAATAGACAACTGAATAATATCAATAGATGAGGAAGTTAATTAAGTTTGATAAATGAACAAGAACTATGCATGATTGTCTGTTGAATGATGAAAGCAATAAACCGGATATGAGTAATCAAGAAATGAGGCATACTAATGGTAAAGAAGTTTGAGTAGAATATGAATCATTTTCTAAGTATACACAACTATCCGAGATATTCTTTAACCATTAAATCTTCAATTACTTCATATTTTTTTCATGTGTATATAAAATATTGATATACAATTACACGAGACAGTAATTTTAATTACTTTTACTATATGATATTCTTAGAAAATATATAAATGATTCATCTGCAAAACATAATTAATATTATGAAATTGTTGAAATATCAATAAATAGATGTTATCTTATATACAGTAAGATGTAAAAATCTTTGACTTGTGCATAAGTTAACTTTCTTTATGTATATTTCTAAAAGGTAGGATGAGATCGACATACAGCTTTTTAAATAACAAAATCAATCGATACTTGTGCTTTTAATTAGACAATCATTACAAATACCGAAATTGAATGATGAAACAGTACCTGCGGAGAAGTTATTTGAAGCGGAAGCTATAATATCTCGGTGATCTAGAGAGATTTCTGTGCGAGGAAGACTCGCCCGTGTTAAATAATTTGACGAAGTCAATAACAGCACGATGTCTAGCTCTGATTGGCACGAATGTAGAGAGCATCAGCTATTCATTGTGATACTTTTGTACCTTGCACCATGCCTCATCTATGTATCACTGTACTCGAAGTACTTATTGGAATATATAGTTCTCTCTGTTTTGAAAAATAATTCCATCAAGAAAAGAGTATATTTATAGTCAATGAGTCATTCCCAAGTACTATTACTTGCGAAATTCTATTAATAGAAGTTAATTCTTCTGAAATACATCTTCATAAATTTGACACTATTTTATCAAGTATTTTGTGATAATAACTATTAGAAATACTTATTGAATTTATTTTCAGCTATTAGAGAGTACGTCTTTTATTTGTTAAAAACGTCATTTTTTACTCTAAGATCAGAACAAATACTTATAGAATGATACTTGAGTGAAATGCAAAAAAAAAAAGAATGTCTAACAATTTGCATAATCATGATTATATTATTCATAGTCTCGATATTGAAATAACAGCTCAGGGAATATTATTGGAAATTTGAAATAAATTGTGTATCAACACTTGACATATAAGTAATTCTACAGATATTTTTTCTTTCAATCAAAAGATTGATCAATAACATAAATGTCTTTGTCAAAAGATAAAAAGAAGAAGTAATCGTACAAACGTTATACAGGTAAATTTTATTCTATAATTTCTTATCATGTTATATAGACTATCTATGACTGATATGAAACTGGTATTCACATAAAAAAATTGAATCGCTTTGAGCTAACTTCGACTCCGTATATAGAGTCGGAAAGAAGCATGAAGAAGAAAGAACTATTGTATAAATTGTAATAAAAAGACAACAATTGAGTGATATATGAACTGAAGAGAAACGTGCTCAATATTTGTCGTAAATACATGCTGACAGCTGTCTTATTTTGTTTTTTAAATGAACGGAGGCGTGTAAACGTCATTTAAGTTCGATTGTGAGATCAAATTAGGAAGAGTATAGATGCAGAACTGCCTATTTTATTTCTTTCACATTCATCATTCCTATAATTCGGATAACAGACGAACGATAAAAACCTAGTTTCAATTTGTCTTTTTTGTTCATGATTATTGAAGAGGCAAATATCGCCTAACCCGAGTGTAGAAAAAGAATGAAATGGTAGTTTTCTAGTTGTGAACAAAAGCTAATTCCATTAAGAAAAAAGTATTCTGACTAATTAATTGTTACAACAATTAACTGTAAGCTTTATTTTATTTCGTTAAGATTGAAAAAAAATGATTCTATAAATAAGATTCAAGCTGCGAATCTGTATTTGGTTGTCAGTATTCAATTCATTCATTCTTTTGTTTAGAAAATTTTCTATTGTATCGTGGCTGAATACACAATATGACTCCAATGGATTTTTATCAATTCTAAAAATGACAACACAAACATATGGTTTAAAAATAAACAGATGGACAAATTTTTTTATGTTATCATCGAAAAAGTTTCTCTCTCCTAGTTGTTTGATTAAGACAACATGGCACGATAACATTGTCCTATATAAATTTAAACAAAAAAAATATATAGTTCATAAGTAGTAAACAAAAATCTAATTTCTTTTAGACATACGTCATCATATTAATACGACTATAGAAAAAATTACGGATTTTTATAAACACGCGAACAAACAAAGACAAAAAATGAATTAGAATATTTCGGCGATTAATGAAAGTATGAATGCTATTTTTACTACATGTATTTATACCCATTTTCTAAAGAAATAAATGTACTATTAAGCACTATACTATTCCAATTATAAGATTAGAATTATTTCTCATTTCTAGACTTTTTTCAAAATTCCTTTTAGTTCATTGAAAACTTTCTGGAATAATCCGATTATAAGCTAGTATATACTCATTTTAAAATACATTATTAGATGTTAACACAGAATATTTACAATTAATTATTTTAGCACTATTTTCAGTGATAAAATATTATATATATAGTATGATTTTAGCTAATAATAGTTTTTAGCACTCGTAGGCATTCATTAATATGATAAGAAGAAGGTTATTTGTGCTTTATTACGAACATCTAGACACACGGATACAAAATAAGACACATCTATCTAAATGTGAATCATGTAAAGGTTTTATTAAAAAATCATGCTAAAAAGTAATTATCATCTTTGAGATTAGACAAGAGGCGGACAATTTAATTATATAGACATAAGCGTGTGCCCTGAGGCAAATGGAATATTTGAAAGACAATATTTAACTAATCTATAAATAAAGATTTTCAATTTCTCAAAACATTGAAGACTAATTGATAATATACGTTCTGATTTATTTTTCTTATCTATCATGTCACTTGTTATAGCATCATAGATTTCTAGACACTATAAATTATTTAATCGCATGTATTTACGTCAAGGCTAAACAAGACAAACATAATTAATTCAGTTGAAGGCCAAGTGAGTCACATCAATAAATAGTACTTGTAATTTTAATTACTTTTACTATATGATATTCTTAACAAAATATACAAAATGATTCATCTTGAAAAAAAAAACTAAATAATTGTTGAAATATTAATTAATAGATATAATTGTTTACTAATATACATAGTAGTCAAGTATTTTGTGATAATAACTATTAGAAATACTTGTTGAATTTATTTTTTTGACTATTTGAGACTACTTTTCATGTTTGTTACAAAATGTCATTTCTACTCTAAGGATCGGAACAAATACTTATAGAATGACACTTGAGTGAAATGCAAGAGAGAAAAAGAACGTCTGTCAATTTGCATAATCATGATTATATTATACAAAACGTTCATTTTCATATTCATAGCATCAATATTGAAATAATAGCTAAGAGAATAATATTTGAAATCAATCTCAATTTGATGTTTAGTTGAATTAGAATTTCTTTATCACGAACAATATCTATTTTTATCCAATTCAAAAACATTTTGTTTAAAAAAAGGAATATTTTTTTTTTTGACAGACAATGAGCTTCGCCCAACATGAAATATTTTCGTTTGTTTTTCTTTGAGTCAATTGAAAACAAAAACACAAAAATGAGAAGAAAGAACGAAAGAAAAAAAAATAATAATAATAATAAGACAAGCCCATTGACTATATACACATGAAATTAATTTATCTGTTTTCATTTCTTAAAACTAACACTTGACCAGCATGTGTAACATTAACAGCAACAGATTCTGGTAAATAAAATGGTTCACCATCCATTTGTGCTGTCATTGGACAACATATTTCAATACGTAAATTACTACATTGTGCAATACGTATGCCTCGAAAACCCATATGTATTGTTGCCATATGTGTTGTACTTAAACCGACAACTTCAATTTTTTTATCACCAAAATCTTGTCGATCAAATCGACCAATCGGAGTTGTAATTGTTGTTATGGATGGTATATTTATTTGATCATTTGGACAATCATTTAATGTAACAAGTTCATAAACTTCATGTGTATTTGCTGGTAAATCAATAATTTCAATTGAACTTGTTGATATTTCTTGAAATGAATCACAATCTTTTTGAATAATTATTGTTTGTGATGATGTTGAAGTATTATTATTCGATGATTTACCCCATGGATTCGTACCAGATGCATAACATGGAATATTTAATACAAGTAATGTATGACAATTTCGTATTGATTCAGTTAAATCTTCTCCATCACATAATAAACGTATATACGAACCTAAATTCCACATTTTTGAACGAGCAAAATCATTTAAATATTTTCGACTTTCATTTAAATACATTAATTTATTTTTTAATGGTGATGAAAATTTTCTTGGATCACGTTTACGTCTATCATGAAATTCTAATGCTATAGCTGCATCTAAACCAAAACTCATATAATTTATAAAACGTGTATTGGGTAATGCACGATTATTTTGATATGATGCACGATTTGTATCACGTACAAATTTTGGATGATTTATAAATGATAAAGGTAAACGATTTGTTGGTAAATTTTCTTCTTTTATATTATTAACTTGTTCAATTGTAACTTGCCATCGATCAAGTGCTGTTGATTGTGATTGAGGTATTTGTGTTAAAATTGATAATAAACGTTTCGAATCATATTGTTCACCCCATAATAAAACACGAGATAAATCATTACCTGTACCTAATGGACAAATACTAACAGGTGGATTATTTAATGATGGATATAATTCAGCTAAACAACTAAGAACCCATCCAACTGTACCATCACCACCGAATACACATATACGAATATTTGATAATGAAGAATAGATTTCTAATGCATGAAGTATAGTTGCATCATTTTCAAGAAGAAATACTTGACGTGGATTAAGAAGATGTAATAATTTTCGATAGATTTTTTCACCACTTTGACCACCAGAACGTTTATTAATAAAAAGTAATAGAGGTGTATAATTGTCAACAGATGTTGTCGTATCATTTGAAGTATGAAAACGATATTGAGCACGAAAATGAGATGGAGGACCGGGTATACGACGTAACCATTGTGGTCGAACAATTATATTCCTAAACAAAAATAGATAGAATTTTGTATATTGAATA